CTCGCTGGTACCTAGTTCGACTCGCTGGTACATAGTTCGACTCGCTGGTGCATCGTTCGACTCGCTGGCGCAAAGTTCGATTCGCTGGTGCAACGTTCGATTCGCTGGCGCAACGCTCGGATCAGCGATTCGCTAGCGAATCGCTCGATTCGCAAACTATGACATCGGCCTAACGCTAGGCGAACCTCAGGGGCCACGTGCATCAAGCCCCAAGCCGGGGATGGGTCTCATCCGTCGGGATATTTCCCCAACATCGGGGGCATATTCTCGATGCGCGTGAAGAGATGAGTTCCCAACCTCTTCGACGTATCCTCAACTTCGGGGACATTTCCCCATCCCAACATTCAGCAAGAGACCGTCCAAGGGTTACGCTGCACTCGGCGCCATACCTCGCAGTCTGATTAGGCGGCTCTACGGATTTGACGTGGTGGCCGCCGCATATATCGAACTGAGGGGATTCGTTCCCGACTATGGAAACGCGGAGGGTCGACAGCAGTGACCGTTCCGCAAGTTCGAATGATCATCGAAAAATGATGGGCCCTGTGACGAGTCCTCGAATGGTCTCTTGCTGAATGTCGGTTGTGGAGGTTCTTCCCCGAGGTTGCGATACGTCCCCAATGTTGGGGATCTATCCCTTAACCGCGTCCGGTATGCCGTCGAGGTCGGGGAGGTATCCCCAAGGTTAGGGATGTGTGCTTTGGGTAGGGGATAGATCCCCGAACCTGATGCATCCCCACAACGAGGTTCCATCCCCGACGCGGGTGGAGGGCCACGCAGGGCTTGCTGCACCTGGCCAAGACAGTAGATCGCACGATTAATACGTATCTAATTCTGGGTGGGGGGGGGTGTCCCCCAAGAGGCCCATCGCGCGGCGAAGGAAGAGACGCAGACGCGGCAAAGGACGAGTCGCAGCGCATACTGTAGCGGTTAGGCGTCAGGTTAAATAGAGTGTACCATACTACGTCTCATATCGCACAGCACGCGCTGCGTCTCTTCCTTTGCCGCGCGATGGGCCTCTTGGGGGACACCCAATTCTGTGCGATCCTTACTACAGACGACCGGCTATGAAGGTGTTACTTTTCGATGGAGGAAGAAGATTCCGTCATCTCAGATTTTGTTCGCGATACAATTCTAAGTGCGGACAACTTCATTTCGGGAGGTCCCCACGTGTTTTCCAGACTGTTGCGAGACATCGGTGTTTATCATGCTGTAGCTTGCTTGTTGTGAAGGTGTGTAGCGGTATGTAAATGGTTAGTCTATTATTTGTAGACACAATATAGGATGAAGAACATGGTCATAAAAGTGGAGTGGGGTATGGTAAAAATTGGAATCACATCCGAGCAATGGCAGCTCATTCGATAGCTTAACCTGGAGCACGCCCCTCCACAGTGGACGTGGGCCCGACATCTCCCATACTTAACCCTTTCCGGACCGCGCACTTTTGCCGTGGCGGGCGCGCGTGCTGCACGGCAAGCATAAATAAATATATTAACCTGTATTTCCACTGAAATCATTACTTTGTCCCGTTTTTGTATTTTTCATGCCTAAGAGACATATATAGTGAATATGACAGAAAACTGTTGCATAATGAAAGTGATAGGGCCATAAAAAGGGAGGCAGGAATGAAAATTGTGGAAAAGGGAGCGGGAAGTTCCGAAACGTTTGAATTTAATTGCATCAGATACGACATGCACGTAGTGTCATAGATTCTGTTGTATGAAGAGTTTTCAAATGATTTATAAGTGTTTTCGCTGAGCTCAAAGTGGAAATCC